ATATATATATATGAATGGTTAGTTATCTTTACTATCCCAACCGTTATGTTTTAAAAAATTATATTAACATTTAATATCTTAGCCCTTATATTTTTTAAAATTATATTAACATCTTTATATATCTAGATTCACTTATCTTAACGTCGTCGATTTTATTATAAAAATATAAAAATAAATATAAAGATAATTTTAACGTTCCAATTGATAGTAGTAGACGACGATATCATGGGTCGCAAGTGACTGTTGTGGCTAAGGAAAGTGATGATGAGAGATGAAACTCGCTCTACATCTACATCAACATCACTCGATATCTGAATCAGTGGCCTTTTTATCGCTCGATAACTATATTGATGCTGACGTAGATATAGAACGACACTCACCTCTCATCATCGTTTTTCTCATCAACAACAATCACCTATAGCCCCTAGCGACGTCATCATCTGCCACCACTAACTAAAATATTAAAATTATATTTTTATCCTATATTTTCATATTTTCGTTAGTAAAACCGATACTACGATAAATGAACTTAAATATTTCACTTTCGTAACTAAATGAATGTCAATATAATTTTTTAAAGTATAGAGATTGAGATGATAAAGTAGTTAACTACAATGAGTAATATATAATTAGTTAAGATATCAACGAACATATCTTTAGCATACAATAATGTAAGAGTGAGTGGTATTTATATTCATGACATGATATAAATTATTGGCAACAGCATCATCTTAATCTGTTCAATCAATCAGTCTCGGCAATTGTTCTAATCCAAAATAATTATCGCGTCGTTGATGACAACCATAATATAAATAGACTTCATGACCTAAAATATTGAAGATAGTTACGAAGCAATATTGATCCTCCATCCGAGCTCTAATCGTAATCCATCATCGTAATGACAACGAGAGAAAACTTCAAACAAGTCATCACCTCGTGATCAAAATTGCTGTTCAATAAAAGATATTTTTTTGCATGATTGATGTCTTGGAAATTGAATGATTCCACATTTTCCGAGAAATGATCTCCTTTTTTTTTACTTAATTAACATCTATAGCTTAAGAACAAGTCTTGAGGTCACGTTAAACAATATTAAAACTTTAGATAAGGCTGAAAAAGGGGATTAGATCATGTTCATGCTCACAGGGATAAGAGCATGATGATGAGTTAGAGATGAGGAGGGCTTGTCTCACTGAGATCTTCTATCTTCTATTTTTGATGGTGAGAATGTGCCAGAAATGAGATAGATGAGTTGCATCTCAACATATGATAGTAATGGCCTACAATTTGGATGATGACATATAGCCATCAAAGGAAAAAACAAACAAATAACATGACCAAGTCTACACTTGTCTGATGATTAGTCAATACAAGAAAAATAGAAGGCAATGGGGAGGAGACAAGGAGGTTTGAGGACAAGAAACACATGGATGTTGGAAATTTGGCCTTATTTTTGTTGGGTCCAATGAACATTACTTTGAGAATAATTATACTCATTGATAAGATTCTGCACGGTTTTGTTGACTCAACCATGATTAGTTGGTACAATGATTGAATCTCTTCGGAGTAGGCCAGAGAGGATACACATCCTGATGATAAGATGCTGCTGCACTTTAGAACACATGCAATGTTGACATCATGATGAACTATAAATATTTTAATTTTGATTGGGTTTTGGGTTAGGTTCTTCATTTTTTTTTAGTGAAAGCATTTCCAGGACAGAATGATTTGTTTAAGATGGTGGGAGAGACAGAATATTTGGAAAAGAGAGAGAGAAAAGAAGGAAGTATATATTGATGAGATCATATGTTACGAGGAGTCACACAGATTAGGATCCCAAGTAGTACGGTACTAAACGAAGGCTACATGCATGCATGCACTCGGAAATCGCATGAATCCGCGGCCAAAAATGTGTGAAGAGAGCAACTCCATCGATCGGGTTTAACATCATTTTTATTCGTCTCAGATTCAGCTTTCTCCTCATCTCCTCGCGGAGAAGAGAGAGAGAGAGAGAGATGAGTTCGCCCACGAAGAAGCCGTCTTGCTCGGAGGTGGCCGCGAAGCCATGGGCGGCGTTCCGGGGGCAGTGGCACGATGGCGAGGAGTCGTTCAAGATGCCGCTGCACTACAGTACGAGGCCATGGAAGAGGCGCAGCTGGACTTCTTGCTCAAGGAGTACGGGCTGCCTTGCCGGGGAGATGTTGCCGAGAAGAGGAAGGACGCCATGGGCCACTTCCTCTGGTCACAAGACTGAGAGAGGGAGAGAGAGCAGTTGGGATTCTCAATTCTGGTAGCACAAGCTTTTTGCTACCGTGAACTACAAAATTTAGTATGTGCTGTAACACAAGTACGTGCCAAAGTGGCACCATTACAATCCAAGCAAAACATTTCTTGTGGAGAAACAAATTCCAGCTTTGCAGTTTCCAGCCATTTGTAGATTAAGAAACTCAAATGGTCAGCAATTGTTCATCGACCATTTTCAATCCTTACATCCAGTCAGAGGAAAACCAAAGTAAATTTCGACCTGGTTGCCGCATTTCTGCAGGTCTAGAGCAAGCTTGCAGAGGATGAGGCCTTCATATCATCTGCAATCTGACTATGTTCGGAGCTGAGGACAATGCTAGCCCAATTGGATGACCTGTGCACGATCCTAGATGGGATCCGGTCACTGTCTTCGCCCCCAGATGCTTCATACCCATCACTGGCAGATCTCGAGCGCTGAATTCCGTTCGGTGGAATGATGCCTGTGATAGAAATAGAATTGAGACCTTGTGCTTCCTCAGCTCCGGATGAAGAATCGCGAAATGGATGCAGATCAGGTGAGTCTAAACTACTATCAGGAGAAGAAGCAACAACTCTAGCTGATGGCATTGGCTTGTTGGGTCGAAAAGCACTCCTGGCTTCAAGCTGCAGAGGTGCCAAACCGGTGGATGTCTCGGGAGCCAGATCGCTGGCATTACTCTCAGTTGCGCTAGCAGATATTTTCGCTAGAGATTCAAGAGGAAGGTCCAACGGAACTCTTCCTCTTTTGTTCATCCGCCTACGGTTATCGGATCTCAGAACCATTCTGCCACTGCCACTGCCGAGACTACTCTCTGTGTCTTGTCCCTGCAGATTATCTCGTCTAACAATTGGCTGAAGGATTTTGGACTTCTTCCTTGCCTGTGCAGCAGCTTTTGAAACCTCTTCGGCATTAAGTCTTGCAAGGGTCCATGGACTGATCTTGACAGGTCCAGCATTTTTCCTCTTGACTGGTTCCTCTGCCATCAACTTCTTGCTTGTGTGACTTGCAGATGTGCCAATCTCTGGGGGCACAACATCAAACTAGGAAAAGAATGAAACCTCTTTTCAATGAACATCAATGTTAATAATTAAAATTTTGAGAAAGCCATCAAATAATATCATCATTTTTTTTCGGATTAAAACTTGCAATTTAGGGAATCGCTATTGAGAACAATCAGACTCGGGATTCAACAGTAGCTCAACTCTAGAGATTGGGAACTGAGTTAACCATGCTTACTCTTAATTAGCCTAAGAAAATTCTTCATACAGGAGGCTTATAATATGTAATTGCATGCAGTTTACAATTCCATAGATGGAGAAAAGGGAACATACAAACAAGATTTGAAATACAGTTTTTATCAACCAGCAAATAAAGTCAGCTGTGATTTTATTTTTGAAGTAAAACATCAAAGGAAATTAAAATAACTTGACAAAGAGTGGTTTTTCTTTCTCCGTATGAAAAAAAATCAACTTTTTCAGTCATCTTATAAGCAATAAATGACAAAAAATTTGGTTTCCATCAAATGTTGAAAAGATAGTAACTGTTATCTACAAATACATCTTTAAGTTTGTCTTATTTTATTCACTTAGTTATGTTCTGTGCACAAGGGGCCTGTCAGAAGAAAGAGATACATAGTACCTGATCCTCGAGGAATAATCTTGGTGGAGTACACCATGCACCTCTATGAATCACGTTGAAGGAACTGGTGCTGCTTAGTCCAGTAAAAGAGCTTACTTGAGACATTTGTGGACTTTGCTGTTCTCCAACAGCATGTTGTTCTTGCTCCTGCTCCTGCTCCCTTAAAGCTATGATGTAATCATATGTACTAATTCCCTGCACCAACATTCATGCAGATATCAATCATAACGAGGTAGTCCAAATCAACAACTTCTTTCCAGTTCTCATAAGTCAACAACACCACATCATGCGGTTAGCTGCCTAGTCCATTCCTCTATATCAGATTTATCTTGTTTAAATTACAAGTCGTTAGAAGAATGGTTGGATGCTTTGTCCACATGGATGCACCTAAATGATGTCAAAACATAAAAGAATATATCTTCATGAAAGCAGTCTGAAATCTAGTAGAAAGAGAATTTCAGCAAGATTTACCTTTTTTATTAGAAGAATGTGAAAGAAGAAAAGTTGTGCAACTGGTAGGGTCGCAACCATGGCTAAGAAAGTACAGGAAGCCTGCAGATGTAGAGCCACATCATATGATAATCACTGTTAGTTTTCATAGGCTATATTTATTCAACTGTGAACCCCTACTTCAAGTACTCACCACCACAATAACAAAGGGCACCAAAGAGAAGCTGCTTCCCAACTTTGAGATGATTTCTGCAGAGAATCGCTTTCGCTCAAGGAAGCAGAGTATCAACACAAGGAGTCCAATTGACCACTGCAGAATAAGCTGGCCCAAGGTGCACAAAGCATGGAGACCTGTCAATAGTCAATCAGAACAAAAAGGACCCAACAAGATGCATGCTACATATCAGGTCCATGGTGCACTACAAAGTTAGTGTCTTCTGAGGTGTCAATAGGCATAATAAAAATAGTATCATACTATCACATGTCTATGCAGACCACCATCCTAATAGAGAAAAAGACTTGCGCTTACCAAGAGAAGAGCAGACGCCATTAGGGTGAAGAACCTTTTATAGTTTTTTCTTCCTATGCAGTTGTTGATCCACTAGAAGATCAAGGGAGGATATTAAGCATTGCATGCCATCAAGAGGAAAAGAAGAAATATTTTAAATTTGAAAAGTCACCCTGCAGTGATGATCGAAGCCATCAACACATTTGTCACAAACTCTACAGTGCTTACTATACTTCAATACCTGCAAAATGTGATAAGGGAGAAAAACCAGGTTAACAGAGAGCACATTAGATTATTGTTGATAAATTATCATTTTTCTTGAGAGGGATGTGTAACTTTAATCCACACTTTAAATTTGTTTTAGTCAAATTTTGCCAGGAACAGCTGCAAGAAATATGCAACTTGCATCTTTAGACCAAATAGTTTTGAATTTCAATATAATATCTCAATTCATGCATAAACCTCAGTAAATAGCAAAAGATATAGAAATAAAGTCAATAAATAGACTGGACATTAATGTCAACTACACATAATCGAAACATTACAAATTTAAATCGTCAGAGATTACTAAATGCTTTCCTGTAAAACCAGGGATGAGGACATCTGTCAGTAATAGTTGACTGCATTGAACACGACATGCAGTTCTCCTTGTAATCAGGATTGACACTAAGAACTACAGATCCAACTAAGAGGGGATGTATAGGCAGACCTCGGGTGGAGACAAGACTTGATTGCTCAAATAGTCGTGAACACAGAATTGGAGTGTGCTTTATTCAATGTTTTCCAAGTTTATTAAGCATTTCAACAGAAAAGGAATGAACAACAATCCAAAATAAAATTTCTTTTAACAACTATAACAGAGATATTCTTATTTAACAGTTACCTCATCGCATACCTCAATGTGGCTAAAGGTGCATATTGCGAAAGACACCATTTTGTTTAGAACAAGGTGAAAACATAATTAGTAAGCCATATCGTTCTTAGTTTGTAACTACTAGCAATTAGAATTAGAGCCACTTTTTTATTCAAGGAAATAGCCATTAGCAATTATTCCAGGAAAAAAAATCAAATTAGTTAATTTCTGAAGCAGAATTACTAGTAAATTTAGTTCAGGAGAGGGCCCAGGGAATACGATGCAACCTGAAGGATGACAGAAAACATATATTTGCTAAAGAAAGGAGAATGCTATAAAACTTAGATATTTTGGTCATTGGGCATACCTCAACTTCGCATAGACTGCAGTAAAACATTCCTTCCTCACTCATTTGCTCTTCAGAAGACTGCTCATGTGACTGACACCAATTGCACATAAAAGACAGACCACACCAGCTAAAAAGTACTACCAACCAAGTTATAGTGCTGCCAGGCAATCTCTCACTTTCAACTCTAGAATGTAACTCATCCCTAGCAGCATCTGAATCAATGCTCCCATCAAGTTGCTTTTCGGCAGTTGTTTCAACATTTAGCTCCTTTGTTAAGCCTTCTTGCTTACACTCTTTGGAAACAAATCGTTCTTTGTAGTCCTCTACTTTAAGATACTTCTTTGATTTGAATATACCAGGGTCACCAGGATCCGTTGCCGCACACCACACATATAAGAAGAAAACACATGCAATCTGATAAGAAGAAAGAGCAAAAAAATCAGTCTCTGTAAGTAGCCACCTGTAACTCTATTTGCAATCAGATCATCACAAGACACACAATATTTTTTTTCAAATTGTACATATGGACTCATATATATCTCGAATATAACAGCTGTAATATAACAGAACTTTCATAATATAAAAATGCATATTTATCATTTTCACACATTCTACACCATGAAGTTTTCAAATCGTATCAACCATAGGTGGTAGTTAGGAAACTTCTGGCATTGCGAGAAATGTAGCACAAATTTCACATCATTAAAAAAATGCAATGTGGTTAAAGAAACAAAATCAACTTTGAATAGTTTTTATGTTGATAATGATTCAAGAGCAGTCCTGATAAATGCACAGATTGCATATGGCATTATGTCCAGTCTTCTCATTGCGGTTATTATCTGTTTGCTTGGCACCTTTGGCAATTTCTATGTTTGTCCTTTAGAATTATTCAGATTACAGACCAAGTACCTTGTCAGAAGATCTCCTCAGTGGCTATTTCTCATAGTATACACTTAGAAGTTAGATTGAACTCCCAATGACTGAATGCCAAAGAAAACAAGTTGAAGGGGGAAGAAAGAATAACAGAATTGAGGAACCTGGCAACCAAGTTTACAGGAAATACTAAGATCCTCTAAAAAGTGAATTTTGCTGCGAAAGGCATCATGCTAGACAAAGCATCTTTTATGATCATTAAAGATTCTACTATTAAAATCATAATACATACTGCCCAACTGATGGTTCTGGAATGTAGAAAGGATTCCCATGTAGGTTAAATTGTATATATTTGTGAGATTTAATCAGCTAGGGTATTTACATCTACTTGCTTACTGGTGATCGATAGCTTTCCAAAATTTATGCCATGAATCATGGCTAACTCTTGTTCCAGTGGGTATTTCAACCAAAGACATTAAAGTAAAACCCATCTTATTGGAGCCAGGTCCATGAATCCTTTCCTTCCTAGTAGACCACCTAATCAGTCGAAAACATGAGCAATTTTAAAAGCCTTTAGAGTTGAAATGGTGTGTTGTAGATGTAGTTTATTAAACAATTTCAAGGATAGTCACTATTTACTTTCCTAATCAAGTATAGATTCTGTTGTATATAGTAGGATAAAGCTATTTTCAAATGAATGAAAAATTTTTCACTTGAATAGACATGTTCTTTTGAGCAAACAGACATAACATTTCACCCAAATAAGCACGACTTTTCACCCAAATAGACATGTCTTTTCATATGAACGGACATGTTTTTTTCACCCTAATGAGTCTTTCCAACATATATAAATAGATCTCACCCATGCATTCATTCAATGAAAAATAGAATTCCATTCTTGCATTCATTTGACAAAGATCAAAGAGAGAGTACAAAAGCACCTAAAGTTCGCAATTTGGAGTGCTACTATTGCAAGAAGTGATTGCTGTATCTTGGGAGACGATTGCCGCTAAACCGACAAATGCGTCTTAAGGAGAAAGAGTCCAACTCTTGCCTCAACCAAATCCTTTTTAATCTAACCTAAGTTCTCCTTTCAGGTTAGCCATTTTCTTTCAGTCAAGTTATTTTGAACAAAAAAAAAAAAAACTTTCACCCGGCAGATTCAACTTATGAACAACATATGGACATTGCAGAGTCCAATAGTACTTACTGATGCATTCTAGGTGCTCATTAATGAGCTTAGGAAAAGTTCAAGAAATCCTTGAATAAATGAAGATTGACATAGCGCCAAGACTGATTGGAAAACCACGATTTTAATGGAACGAAGAAAACAGCAAGAACCGCTCAGAGATATGCACAAGTTGATATCTTTACAAAATAGAAGAGAAAAGCAAAGGAAGAAACACTTTAGAGTGGTGCTAGTAAAATGGCTTACCAGGGGAGTGTAAAGCCCCATTACTACATACTGAAACAGCTTCTTCCCAACAAATGGGACAAAGAACACATAGAAAGCAAACCCCAGCGCAAGAAAAACAGCTATTGCTACCACCTGCAGTCAGTAAAGCGGAAAAATCATAGCCAATCCAGAAAACCAAAGGGAAGAGGCACACAAGAAAAGGTAACATTACCTGAAGAGGATGATAGGGAAGCTGCCACCCATGCTTCCTCATTCTTCAGATCCTGGTTCGAAGGAGAAGTGCCCAGCTGAGATGGTTGAAGATTTAGATTTGAAGAAGCCCAAGTCCAACTTTGAGCCCACATACACACAAGAGAGAAAGAGAGGTGTTCTCTTCCCCTTAAATCTATTTTCTCAGTGGAACAGGGAAGAAAAACGGATGCGGCCACAGATAGAAACCACAAGTCCCCAATGCCGGAACCTCAGCAGGTATAGCAAATGCCCAAGAAGAGAGGCTGAAGAGGAGGAGCATTTGGAGAAGTGAAGAGGGAAAGGGAATTCTTGCTTCAGGAACAATAAATGTAGTGAGGTTCAGACTTATTGGGAGAAGCAATGAGCTGTTGCGTTGCTATTGTCTTGTGACCCTTTTCCCAATGCACCAAAGATCTATGCTTGAGGCTGATAGCATCAAGATAGAGATCAGCATCAAGATAGAGAGTTGAGATTATGCTGCTGTTAAACCTGATCACATACTAACCAAGGCACCTCCTTGGCTCCCTGGAGCAACATGTTCCCCACCATGTTGTCCTTCTCTTCAGGGATGAGCTAGGGTTTCAGGTCAAAGCACATGGAGGTTGCTGTGCTTCCCCAATTGCCCTTAGCCCCTTGGCAATCACTACCATCTACTCTCTCTCTCTCTCTCCAAGACTTTTGCTAGAAAAATGATATAAATTCCTCATTTTGTAGAAAGGAGTGCCCTCAGAGAAGATCTAGAGTACATATAGTCCTAGTGGTTGGGTCCTAATATCTTAAATGGCAATGTATCCACCAGTAGTAACTCTCTTGAGAAGGGTAAAGCATCTAAAAGCAGTTGATGTGAGTCCAAGCTTTAGCCATGCTGGGAAGAGTAAATGCCCTATAAATCAGTAGTTGCCATCTCCTCTGCCATGTTGACAACACCAAAAGCCTGTAATTGTGGAAAATGATTGCCACTAGCATGGCCCTCTTGTGTTTCTTCCATGGCATATTGTGTTGAATGCTAGTTGGCTACTATTCAATCATTTGACAACAAATGCATGAGGAATGCTTCATCCCTAACACTGCAAATGCTTATTCACAGACAAGACTGCTTCCTCTTAAAATAGTGGAGTATGCCAATGGCTTCTGACTCCTTCTACATGTGTTGTTCTACATGTATCTATGCTGCAAGCTGAATCTTGGAATCTTTTATCTATGTTCTGAGTTCAAATAGAGATGCCTTCTTACAGAATGTGTTGCTGAAAACAGTACATTGTGGGTTTTGGTTTTTGGCTTGGAGGAAGAACAGGTCAGTACAAGTCTTATCTCAGTCCTGAGTTGTTTAGGCCTTGTGAGCTGTGATCTTTGGACTTTCTTGTCTGTGTAAAAGATTGAGTACTCCCAAAGAAACGCACCTTTGTCTCCATTATCCCTGTCCTTCATCTTCTTGTTTCTCCAATATGACAAAGCTTACTTACTCCACAATAATGGCATTTCATAATTGTCCCCACAACAAGACTCTCATGCCTCTTTTTGTGACTTACAGTCCTATTAGACAAGACCACTTTACAAAAAATAAAAAGAAGGAAAGAAGAACACAACAGTGTATGATTGAGGACCAAATCTGATGTAAACCTGATAGCACTGTATCTCAAGTAATAACTTGGAGATCAAAATTTCTTGCTTGAATAGGAGTCATTAACTTTTCCATAGATCCTAATAATCAAATCATATTATATTCTTAAAGAGTATTGAAATTTCCACTTGTGAGTAGTCAGCATCCATGAAGATATCATGGACACCTGTGGGCTAGCCAAACAAGACAGCATAGAATAAGTACTTTGATTTAAGTGGGGCTAACACTGATGAACAAATGACACTATGTAATTAGAGGATAGTACTGGCTGAGTTAGACATTGATGCTGCAATTATGCATGCATGACATATAATTCTTTGTCCAAGTTGCTCTTGTAGAAGATGACCTCTTCTGCTTCTTTGAAAGCAAACAACTGGATTATTTCCCTTTTCCTGCAAGTGGAATATAGCAAAGACGCATTTTTATATCCTGAATCTATCTTCTACAGTCGAGGAGGAGAAGGTAGCAGTGACTACAGACTCATGAGTTCTGAGGATAAATCTTTGATACAAAGCTTTTGATGAAAGACATTTTGATGGATGACTAGCATCCAACTGATACATCTCCAGAACAAGGACTAAATTGTTAGAAGAGGGCCTTGTTCACCATGGCAAGTTGTTCGGAGTACAGACAACCAGTCAGTCCACTGTCTCTTCATCTTCTCCGTCCTACATGTTTTGGTTGGCTACCGATTCCAGAGTCCATCCATGGCTTGGAGCTTCCCACGAGCAGTTTGATAACCTTCAATAACTTTAGTCTGTTCATCTGTGCTTGCTTTCTCCATCCTACATGTTTTGGTTGGTTACCGATTCCAGAGTCCATCCATGGATTGGAGCTTCCAACAAGCAGTTTGATGACCTTCAGTATTTTTAGTCTGTTCATCCGTGCTTGCTTTCTCAGCAGGCACGGATGTGGCCTCCAGTCTCGGGAATGGCTATTGACATCCGAGATCAGCACGGAATCACCACATAATTCAATCACCTGCCTTCAGCTTTCCTCTATCGTGATTCTTGTACTGTTCTTGAAGCAGTAACTTCGGTTCAGACCGTAGAACAACAGGCCGATTCATTTCCATGCATGCAGGCATATCTCCTCGATGGCGATGGAGTGATCGGGACGCAGAATGATCAAGATGGTGCGACAAGGTCAACTGGTTACAGTGAATTCGACATCTTTCTCTCATTGATTTGTAGATTTGGTTGTTGATTCAATTTCACGCAGCAGGGGAAGAGAGAAGCGATCGATACACGAGGAAGAGAGCAGAGCAGCGAAGTGACTTCACAGTTCTTGTCGTGGGTGTCGAACGTTTAAGAGTTGTCTCCTTCCCCTTTGCTGATCCAAACCCGAATCCAATAGCCACGTTCGGACTAAATCCGAACCCTTTTGCCCGCTAATGGATGGTGGATCGGTTCGCCGAGGGTTATCCGATCTCCCTCAAGATTAGGCCGCAGGGGAGAGAGAGAGAGAGGAGAGAGGCGGGCACAGCGCTCGCAGTGAGGTCGATCGGTAGCTCCCACTGCGTCCCTCGCCATGGCCGCCGGTCGAGCTCTGTTATCGTCCCAGAACGGGCTCGCCGCTGTTGCGCCCCTGTCCTCCATAGGTTACCGAGCCAGAGGACTCGCTTCCTCCCTTCCCCTCCTCCGCCGCCGCTGCCCCTCCGCTTTCGCCTCGTCTTCCGCGCGCTGCTGCAGTCGTCCGCATAGCGAGGGCGCCGGGGAACGGGTCATGAAACCCGAAAAGGATGAGGCTTTCGTGCTCACAACCCCTCTTTACTATGTCAATGCGCCGCCCCATATGGGCAGCGCCTATACCACCATCGCCGCTGATGCCATTGCCCGATTCCAGGTGTTTGTAAACCCTCTTTATTAGCCATGTCTATATGTTTTTCTGTTTTATTCATGCCTTATTTGTTGTACGTGATCAGCTTGTGCTTGAATGAGACAAAGGTGGTAGCTTTTGTATTTTTTATCTTTGCAGACTATGTAAACGTTGTGAAAAAAGAAGGCTGCTATTACTAATTTGTATATTTTCTGGATTTCAAGAATCTTCTACGATTGACTTTGAGACACTTAAGACGATTGCCATTCTTTCATTCCTGAAAATTTGCTTTCAGTAAAATGATATTGTTTATTCCATTCATGTCAAAGACAGAATCAATTATGTCATAGGCTTGTCCGACAATATTTGAAATTTATGGGGTTACGCAAGAATGGGTATTGTTAAGCTTAACTCAATAAACAACAGAAGTGGATCCATATGACAAAGGGAATGAAACATTTAGTTAGAAGAAGCCCTGATGCTTTCTTTTATTGTTATGCATGCTCACAAATACTTAAATCTATTTATTTTAAACTACAGTTTATTTTCATACTCATACCATGTAGTTGAACTTTAATGTCTTCGTTACTTCTTTTACACAGAGGCTTCTAGGAAAGAAAGTTGTATTCATCACAGGAACCGATGAGCATGGAGAAAAAATTGCTGCTGCTGCAGAAGCTAGTGGCAGGAGCCCCAGAGAACATTGTGATACTATTTCCCAGTCTTATAGGATTCTGTGGAGAGAGGTCAATTTCATTACCATTGTTGTATTAATTAAAGAACAAGTTCTTTACAATGCTTCTTTAAGTTATGGCTCAAATTATGTGAGTCCATGATGAATTTAATTGTTCTTGGTATCCGGTAAAGAGAATATTACCCTCCATTGTTTGGTTGCAGCTAGATATAGCATATGACAAGTTTATCCGCACTACTGATTCGAAGCATGAAGCAATAGTCAAAGAATTTTACTCTAGAGTGCTTAACAATGGCGATATATACAGGGCTGATTATGAGGGTCTCTACTGTGTGAACTGCGAGGAGTACAAGGTTTGGTATCTGCAAATTTTCATTAGGTTATTTCAAATGCCTGTATTATATTAATGTGTCAAAATGATTTAAAATTATGACATGCAACCAAAACTACAGGTCCTCCAGCAAAAGAGGGAAAAAGAGATTATTCTACCCTTGAAGATCTAAGTGATGTTTACTGTGAAATTTGTTATGCAGAAGCACAAGTCAAGTCATAATGTCATTGTCCACTAGAATCATTTCATTTCTTTTCTAGGCTTAGGTGTTTAAAACCACTTGTACCTTTTTTGTCTCTCTTCTTCAACTATAAACAATTATCTTAAGCTGATTACAATAATAAAAGTTTTGTCAAGAAGTATGGTTAAACTGTTAAATTTTCTTCCAACGTATACTAGTGTGAAGTACCATGTTTTACTGTGCAGATTGTAATGGAACTTTCTGTAGATGCATACTTATTCTGTGATCCTTTTGAATTATACTAATTAGATGCAATCTCTAGTCAAGAATCTGGTCCATGTAGTAGTCTGATTTGATGGTCGTGTGTTGTATATGTTATGGCCTCTGTACTCCCATGGTTGACCTAATATGAACTAATGAACTTTATAACTTACTATCTAATCCTACAGAGCTACTTTTGTGTAGTCCTTTTGGGTTTAAGTTCATGTGGTTTCAGGACTGTCATGATGGAATAGGTCATGGGAGCTGACATAGGACTATGGTTATGTAGTAAGACCAAAAGATTGGCTAACCATGGGGCAGTTTCAGGGTCACAAGTTTTTATTTGTGTCAAAATGATCCTGAGTTCTGTTTTCACACTTTTATTGTTGAGAAAGAATTACTTATAATGATTCTAAGTGAGATGATAATACGATTGACATTTGGTTGTCAGCTAACTACGTTGGAGAGAATAAGTTTTATAGGTATAATGATATCAAATTTTCGCTTCAGATCAGAATAGATTGAATTGGAATCATTAAATGCTTATGACATCATAGATGATTAGGCATATACTCAATTTTTTCTTGAGATTTTGTGTAATATGCTAGGATATATCTTTGTAATGATAACTTGATGAGCAACACATCATTATTTATGCATCCATGTTCTGTATATTGATGTTTTACAAGTAAGTTGATCTGTTGTTCCATTCTTTGTATTATCATTTTGGTACTACATGCAGGATGAAAAAGAATTGCTTGAGAATAACTGTTGCCCAATGCATTTAAAGCCTTGTGTTCGTCGGAAGGAAGATAACTATTTTTTTGCATTATCAAAGTATCAGAAAACACTGGAAGATTATTTAACATCCAATCCAGATTTTGTGAAGCCTTTATTCCGCCTGAATGAGGTGAGAGTTCAAATGTGTTCTCGCCTTTGGTGCATTATGAATTTACTCATGGAAATTGAGCAGACTACTATTGTTGATACAATTGGATCACAGTCATGAGACCCAAGATGTGCACTAGAGTGCAGTATAGTTGGCTTCATTTTCATTAGCTCTCAAATTCAGATACTTTTTTTGTTTGACTTCTTGATTGCGTGAGTTTTACGTCTTTCTACCCACCAAGAATGTACGGTTTTTATAAGATATGTCTATGATTTTGCAACATGATCATGGCCATTTTCTTTAGTTATATATTCACTGAGATGGAATTTTGTAACCAACAGGGCTTAAATTAAAATTAAAAACAATTGTCATACTTTGCAAAATTTTAAGAAAAATGTGTCATGAACCTTGAAGGCCATTGGGAGATTCCTTTGAAGCTTTCCTTCTTTGAGCACTGTATAGTTTAACTCATCCAAATATTATAATATCTTGTGTTAGCATTCTTTTAGCTTATGTGATCCCAGGCATCTGTATCCTAAAACAAATATGGATTCTTACTGCATTTACCCATCATGATACTTATTTAGGTGCAAGGTTGGATAAAAAGTGGACTGAGAGATTTCTCTATATCCCGCTCATCCGTAGAGTGGGGCATACCTGTGCCTAATGATGATAAACAAACTATATATGTCTGGTTTGATGCTTTATTGGGGTAAGTTATCATTCGGTTTCCATTTTGTTACAGTTGAAAATCCCATAGTTTACAGAATATGTGTATATAAATACTATTTAGATGAAACTGCTGAGCCTTCTTGAACACTGAGTTCATTGTGTAGGTATGTTTCTGCATTGTTAGAGGAGGGTGAGCAAACAAATTTAGAACAAGCTGTTTGTTCTGGTTGGCCTGCTTCACTGCACTTAATAGGCAAGGTATGAATTGTTATCTTCATTTCTCATCAGAGTGATAGTTACCTCATTGTTGTCTTTATGGTCTCAACTCCTCACACAACATAATATGTCTGAGGACATGACTTTCACTTATAAGTCCTCCTCCAGGCTCTTTCACTTATATGCATTGCTAATACTTTGTGCTGCACATCTGAAGGATATCTTGCGGTTTCATGCGGTTTACTGGCCTGCTATGCTACTATCAGCAGGATTAAGTGTTCCAAACATGGTATTTGGGCATGGATTCTTGACGAAGGTATTGCTGCTCTTACTGTTGCTCTTAGCATTGGCTTTTATTCAGGTTGTGGTTGACACATGTACTGTAGTTTGACTTAAGTTAGTGAAAACACCAAAAAACTTCCATATATATACATATGCATATATAGAATTTTGAACGACTCTTGTTGTCCTTGTTTTCTAGGAGCTCAATTTCCATTTTGATAGGTAGATATTTTTTTTATGATTCTTCCTCTTAGTTTACTTTTTTGTATGTGAAATGGACTTCTTGCCTGTACTCTGGTTTTCTGCACTGTTGCTTATGATCTGTGATGGAAGAAAACCTATAAGGGTGCTCAGGCTAAACCAACTCCTCATATATTAAGAATGAAGAAACAAGGATACATCTATCTTAATAAATCATCAATAGCGTGTAGCAACTTATTTGATGCTCAGTGCAGCTATAGTTTTATCTTCATGCTTTCATATCGTCTCCCTGAACTTTCCATTATTCGGTTTTGTGTTGCATAATGTTGGTTCCTAGGCTTTGTCCTTGAATATTGAGCAAAATTGTTAGTATCATTGGCAAATATGCCAAAGGAAATGATTATTTTGGTAATCATAAGCAAAATAGTTGAAATAATTTGTCAGTCCTTCCTTGTCGGTTCATTTTCTATAATCGTTGATGCTAGGACTTCCTTCTAGTACTTCATTTGTCAGCATAAATTGTTCAAAAATTGTGGATCTTGATTATTTATCTCATATATTTATTTCCATTTCATGCAGCAATGCTTTTTATTTTGAAATTTTAGGATGGTATGAAGATGGGGAAATCACTAGGAAATACACTTGAACCGAAGGATCTAGTGCAAAGATTTGGAGCTGATGCTGTTAGGTATTTTTTCTTGCGGGAAGTGGAATTTGGTAATGATGGGGATTATTCAGAGGATCGGTTCATCAACATTGTGAATGCACATCTTGCTAACACAATTGGTAATATCCATTTCGGTATCTTTTTTTCTTGGTTGAGTTTAGTTGATCTTTTTCTTGTCTCTGGACATCAGTTCTGTTACAAAGTAATCTTGGAATGTAATAATATCATTTATGTACAGGAAACCTTCTGAACCGTACCCTTGGGCTTTTAAAGAAAAACTGCCAGTCAATGTTGGCCTTTGATTCCATTATTGCAGCTGAAGGAAACTCATTTAAAGATTCTGTAGACCAATTGGTAAGTCTGAATAACGTGTCCTTGATCGTCCGACTCATGTCCTGATGTTACCATTCTCTTGAATTGTACTTTACAACTTTTTAATCTGATCTCTGCTTATGATTCAGTCAAAGCGTCCAATGATTTTCCATGACAATATGTATTCTGTATCTTATTTGACATGGTGTTCTTGTTTTATTTTGGTGTTAGTATTGCAGACAGTAAGTATTGTTCTTGTATGTTGAAATAGCTGTTTACTCTATTGACAAACAAAAAGAACGATTAATTAGCTTTAAAGTCTTAAGCCGTAGCTGCTTAAGGTCCTTTAGATGTTTCTCTCCTCCTGTTTAACTTTCTTGAGGATGACATGTGACATCATTCTATGACATCATCCATTTGTTTGAGAGTTGTGGGATCCTTCCACAAGGGCTTCTAATCGAGTCTATACTGTTCTGTGCTCTGATGTCTGAATACACCTCAGAATTTAGTTTGACCCACTCTTCTTTTCTCGAGTCCAAGAATATCATTCAAACATGGCACTCAGATAACTGGAGAATATCGTGCCATGTTAGACATGATTAAGCAGGCAACATGGCGAGCTTTTTTAGAACAGTGATAATCTCAAAGACAACAAATAAACAGAGATCCCAGTTTCAGACAATATGAATTTTTTACATCTGGATTCTGGCATATTTGAAATATTCCATTTTAGTTTGCACTTTCTCATGAATAGCTTGCTTGCGTAGGTAGAGAAGGCCAAGTACCATTATGAGAACCTTTCATTATCATCAGCATGCGAATCTGTCTTAGATATTGCGAATGCTGGTAACCTTTATATGGATGAACGTGCTCCATGGTCTCTTTTCAAGCAAGGTGGTGCAAGTTCTGAAATGGCTGCAAAGGCAAGCTTTGAAACTGGCTATTTTCATCTTTGTATTCAATTAGTTTGTTATAATCACATGCTACTTTTACTTGGGAATTTTCTGCATATCTTTATGGAAATTACTCCTATGTTTGGCGAAAATGTTATTAATGTCTAGACAGCATACCCACTACACTAACAATGACCGAGAATTCAAACTCTTGAGATACAGCATTGGTAAAGATAAAAACAAAAAGGTTCTTTCCTGCTTGAAATATTTTCATCTGTTCGATAACACTAAATCATTAACCCAAAAGATACATAATCCTGCTAATTTGTGTTTTCTTTAATTGGGATCACTATAACAAGACTGTGTTGTAATCCTGTTAAGTATTTTTCTCAAGAACTAGATTATGTATTTATGCAATTTATGGTATCATGTTGCATTTATTTTGACCTCAGGATCTCGTCATAATACTGGAAGTAATGAGAATAATAGCAACTGCTCTATCTCCGATCACTCCAAGCCTGTGTTCCAGAATATATAGCCAACTTGGGTTTTCAAAGGAACAATTTGAAGCAGCAACATGGGTATGATCTAAATCTTTAAGGATCTTCTCTTTTTCCTTCTTATGACACACTTCTGACTGCTTGGGCAAAGACAAGTGTGTCCTGAAATCACAATGAGCAGCTCTTTTCTACCTTGTATTGTTTTGTTACAATGGGCTCCATCCTTCGAAACAGAATTGTTATATGACTCGATCATTTGAGTTGTCACCACAGCAAACCTAAGTAACATGCTGATCACAACCTTGAAAGGAGTTGTATTGTTTTGTTATGATGGGCTCCATCCTTCTAAACAGAATCGTTATATGACTCGATCATTTGAGTTGTTACCACAGCAAACCAAAGTAACATGCTGATCACATCCTTGAAATGAGCTACTTCGTGTCTTTAATAAAACTTGTTGGTGTGCTGAAGTTTCCCAGAGCATTCATCCAACTTTCATAAGTTCTATTATGTTTCATGAATTCTAAATTTGTCTTGTGTAGTTAACCTGTTTTTCTTGCCACCGCAGGATGATACCAAATGGGGAGGGCTGAAGGCAGGTCAGATAATGGCAGAGCCTAAGCCAGTTTTTGCAAGGATCGAAAACATTGACGATGGAAATGAGGTGGTCCAAAACAAGAACAAAGACAAGAAAAAAGCTTCGCACCGGCAAGGGCTTGTAGAGGCTTAATGCTACATCTGCTAGCATTCGCAGGTTATATAATTTTTGTCTTTTTTTTTGTCACAATTTTTTTTCTTTTTGGAGATTATGTAGGTGAAGCCCTTAAACCTGTCGATTGAGAGGAAAAGCTATTTATGCATCCGTCTGTAGTATCTTGGAATGTTTACTATTTAGCCTCTGCATTCAAGATGAAGTTTTCTTGGAACAATTCCAATGTACCATTTCTTTTGCTTTTTCTTTCGTCAGTGAGCAATACCACTTGGCTTTATGTCTTGATAGTATTTGATTTAATGATCATTAATAAAAATTGTGATTAATAGCTATCGTACTCTTCATTTTTTTCCGAGATCGCTGCTTTTGGGTGGAATCCTGCTGTCCTCGCGTCTTCAGGGAACATGTTATGTGGTAGACGTGGCGCTTTTCTAATTGGTAGGCTTCTTCGGGACCCACGGTCGTTAACTTGAAACGCTGGCCAGGCGGAAATACCACGTCGGATCAGAGTCCTGTGCGGTGGCTGAGACGAGACAGCTGAGCCAGCCGCCAATTGGGACCATCATCAAGATCCTGGTCTTGTCGAAGTATGACACATGGTGCGTTATTTGTCGTGCGGAGATGAGATGGACGGCCAGCGACAGCCAACCGAATCATAATAAGATCACACTGATACGATTTAGTTAACATCGACATGGATTGTGCTCTCATAGATTCGACTTCGTACTTCCAACAAATCTACGCCGTCCTTTGGTCCATTATTTGAAGTTTAGTTGTGCCACTCGACCTGCAAGTTGAAAACATGGAAGAAATTATCAACATTATGGGAAATAGTAAAGATGAATATTTTGTATGCTTTGTTTCCTCCGAAGACCAAATAAAATGAATGAAACAGAACACTCAGATTCATCACTCACTTTGATGAATGACATTATTTCACCAGTTAAACTGCAGATAAATCCCCTTCCACAAACCGACAATACTGATCGATATGATGATAATTAACATGTCTGAATGACACCAGTGCAAGAAACCTGTCTGAATCTGTCCTCAGTATCCACTCTATATATTTCATTTCAAAGGTTAAACATCATTGACATAAACTGAGAGGTTATACAGCTCTTTTAACCAACTATTTCTACTGTCCTATTTTTGGAGATATAGTTTGGCCAATTATTTCTTCTTAAAGTGCATAGTACTAAGCCTGAATAAAGACCAACATTTACAGTGCATCTCATGTCTAAATCTACCAATTAACCAAAAAAACTGTCATTCCTTTGATCCCAACTACCATACTTCTTTAACTCCTCTATCCCTGAGGAGCAGGCGCGTTGCCTGATGGCATTCTTTGTCTGCGACACCTTCTTGTTGTCCTTCCCCATGCCATTATGTTTCTCCCATCATTTTCTAACTCGGAGTGAATAGGCTGCGTTCGAGGGGGACTGTCTGTAACCTCCACGGCGGTGATGGCCAAGTCTCTCGGCCGCCTCCTCCCCCTTGTTTGGAAACTGGCACTGTTTTGGCACGTGCTCCTAGCGGAGCTAATTTGCCATGACTTGCCTGATCTTGTCACCCCTCCAAGAGCCTGAAGATCCTCAGTCACTTCATGCCTTGACAGGGATGCAAGTGCTGGTAGGACATCTTTCTGGAAATCTCTCCTCTGCCTTCTTCTTCTTGCCTGGCCCCTACGAGGCTTGGTGAGAAGCAATGCGGCCATGGACTTCTCATCCTCTGGCTTTTCTTGTCGACATGGTTTGCAACAATATTCATCTGCCTTGAGTTCTTCAAGCTTCAATGTCATTGACTCGAAGACATCCAATCCATCATCTTCTGAAGCATCACAGTTGCCTTCTCCACTTCCTTTTGACTCTGCATCGTGTGTAACCAACTCTGCCAACATGTACAAGGAATCACATGAGGACGGAGCAAAGGGGTGACATGCGACCTTATCTGAATCTTTATGTACATTCATTGACATGGAAACAATAGCATCTGCTGCCAGTATGACATGAGGATCTTGAGAGGATATCTTCTCTTGTGATATTTCAACTGTTGTCTTTGAGTGATTAATATCTACAAGCTTGGCCCCTGAAAATGTATTTTCTTCTTCCAGTTCATCAGCTGGTGCTTCCAAATCAATTTTGCATGTTGGTTTGCCAGCAACTCTTGGCCAAGGAAATGATGGTGGAATCTGTGTCTCACCTTTAGCTGACATTCTAAACGACTGAGGATCAATGATAGGCGTTAGATCAGAGTTCAGATTGATGTCGTTTCTTAAACCTGGATAGAAATTTCTGCCTGCCTTTCCTTTTCCGTAGTCCTTTGCATCATCAGCTAGAGAGTGTACATCGTATGAAATAGAATTTGAGTAGCTGAAATTCCTACAGGAGTTCTCAGGTAGGCAAAAAATTCTTTTACTATTCAAGCTGTCAGATGTTTGGCTCGTTTGAATTCTGCTTTCCTTGATGTCGAATGATGGCATAGGTTGCTTTGCGGCAAAAATGGAAGGACCTTCGTCCTTGACTCCTTCTGTAAACTCAGTAAAAATTAGCTGAGAATAATCCCTACTGAATCGCAGATCTAATCGAGTGTCACATTCTTTTATGCCAGTAGAACCACTGGGAGATGGCTTTTCTCTATGCCAAATTATGCCCTTGGATGATTCATGATGCTTCCTGATTAAATTTTGCTGATCAGTGAGATCACTTTGGCTGCAACAAAGGATAGCCTGGTTCGATTGCACATCCTTAGCATACTTAACATCTACGAAGTGCAAACTCTTTAAGCACTTCCGGGGTTCATGGATTTCAGAGTTTGCATATTCTGAAGTATCACTGTTGTTACCAAGGCTTTGCATCCTTAGGTTACATGGTAAAAGGTGGGTTCCAGTGAAAGAAGTAGAATTCATTTGGCTACCATGATGAAGACTGTTCACATGGGATGAGAATTTATTATCAAGTCTCGACTGTGGTTGCAGATCCACATTGCATGGTACTTTCTCACAACCAACATTGTTGCTTTGTTTAACTGCATTATAACTCTTGCTCTGTCCATTCAACATTGAAGATGCACTAGAACCTGGAAGTGCTTGAACTGCAATGGGAATGTGGCTTTCTTGAGTTGTATCAAGTGTCAACTTTATTGATCCACATGACAATGGAAACTTCTCATTAAATAGGCCAGAATTGTAGGAACTCACAGCAATTTTACTTTGTCCTGTGAAAAACCAGACAGTGAGTTATATATCAGATCATGAGGAGAACTAGCACATAAACAAAGGTCGCGAAGAGCTAAAAATAGATATGCAACAGAAATTTGACTGATTAAAAAAATAGATGTATATGATTTGAATGCTTGGTAGAGTGGACTATGGTAAAGAGTTCAAAAAATAAATCTAGTATGTGCAAGAAATATCATCAACAAAGAAACATTCAGATAACATATTAAGCCAATCCATGAATATTGCTGTCGTCTAAGATGTAAGAACTTTCTGCCGTTAATGAATTGCATCTCTATAGACAAAGAAAAGGTTCATGAGTTCAAGAATATCAGCCATTGATCTTACCACAATTGTTGTGTAACACTTGCTGTTCCTGTCCTTTATCAGCTCTGTCTACATTGAGGTAACTCGAGCTAACCACTTGATCACCATGTTTGTCCATGAAAGGATTTGTATGTGGAGAACTAGTTTTTGATCTCATTGTTGTCCAAGGCCTTTGAAGTTGTTTGGAGTCCACATTCAAACCATTGAATTTACAACTACCTGAACCTACGGTCCCTCTCTCACATGAATCTTCAGTAGGCTCATTCAGATCAGCAAAACTGTGAGTGGGTAGACCATTTCTTGAATGCAGATTTAATTTTAGAGCACCTTTTCCAAAGCCAGGAACCTCAACGCTGCCAAGAGACAACTTTACCTCATTGTCAGCCTCGATGCCATGAATCATGTTAATAGTCTCAGCAGTCATAGCACATGGCTCGACATCAATTTTACCCTCTGTATGTTCTGTGTCTTCATTTTCAATATAAGCATCAGCAGGAAGGTGAAGGTCCAGAATTCTTCTAGGAAATCTACTGAGCTTAGCCTCCTTTGGTCTGTCATCCTTAACAAACCCTCCATTTTTAGCTGAAATTGAATTGCATTGTGTTGCACTTTCTTCGAGAAAATTTAAGAAGTTTCTCCTGTCATCAACATCTGTAACATTTGCTGTACTCTGACAAGTGCTTAGTAGAGGTGGGTGAGGTAAATGCCATACACTTTCGCTAAATTCAGGATGCATCTGAGATGCAAACATACTTGACCTAGATATCACCATTGGTCCAGAAAATTCATTCAGGTGTTTTTTCTTAATGTCATGCATCAACTCCTTTTGTGTTCTATAAAGACGATGTAGCTCAAAAACCTGAATCATAGAATACAACTTGAGTATTAAAAAAATGGATCCAAATTTTCACGAAAAGCAATGGTAAATGTTGAATTTTCCGCCCTGACAAGGGCCAATGCTGTAATTTAAATCGAAAAAGAATTTGTCCTGGGAATGGGACAAAAAAAATCATTTTGTCCTGTAATGAATAGTTGCAGTAACTTATACAGAAAAAGAAAATACTCCCTATTCTTCAAACTATTATAATGATAGCCTTTTAATTTAAAGGGTCTCTACTGGACGATAAAAGGTTGCATATTGTAGTATCCATCAAATGCATTGTACTCCCAGCACGTGCACATCCAAAAAGATAATGCCTCAGTTTTAATACTGAGTTGCAACTACGATTTATTTTGATGTAAAAACAAACCTGTCTCTGGAATATAGCTTCATGTTCCAGCATTGTCCGCTTCAACATTTCTTTGTCATAGTCTAACCAGCTACTAACTCCCCTTAGTTTGAAATTATTGTGCATTTGCCTGCTGAATGTTTTATCTTCAGAAAAACGAGACCAACTGTAGTTTGCATCCTCATGTAGATCACTTATTGGATATCCTGGAAGATAGCTTTTACACTGCACCTTTGTTCCCATTCCCTATGAAAATCCCAAGTGTAAGAGTTGAAACAGGAATTATAAAAAGAAAGTTTAAAGGGACTAATTCTTCAATCCTACCAACTATACACTGGAGATCTACAAATTTCAAGAACAAAATTGCTTGTATCATAGTGATAAGATGCATGAGTGAAATTTTCATCTTGTATAGTTGTATTCATGTAAAAAAATATGACATTAAACCAAGATTGTGAGAATCTCATTTTTCTAGAAGATCTTCAGTTACAGGGAGCATAGTGCCATATTCTTGAACAAAAAAAATCTGGATGCTTAAGAATTATAGCGATAGATCAAGAAGATACCATCTTTATGATCCAAAATATTCCTTTCAGAGCGCAGAATATGGAATTACTGAAACAGCAACTAAGAATGAAATAATGTGATTGGTGACATGTCCCCATCCATGACTATAATATTAATTTTCAGAAGTTGGTAGATTACACAAAAAGCATCCCATATAACTCAGTTCTCGAACCTTCTTGTTGCACGAAAAATGCACCAGATTCAAAACTCTACTAATTGAAGGGTACTGATTCATGCAAATTTCTTTTAAATTCACCCAAATGAAATATTAAATGAGGAACCGTAGCTTTTAGTGAAAGGAAGTTAGTGTTGAGTCAACTCATTTGATTAATATGAACTTCACATCAGTGTGTGTTGATGAAGTCTACCTCACATAATTTTTAAGTTACATTTCAGTATTTCACTTGACAGCTTTTCTGGTAGAAGAGCATGTCTGAACTTTTTAATAGCTTTTGCACTATTATATTACATGAGGAAAAAGCTCCGAAAGATGTTGTCAATGTTGTTAAGTTCCACCAACACACTTGGACTATGACTATCCAGGATTGCTCTGTGATTGGCAAACTCCATCTGATAAATGCTATTTTATGGGTTAAAATGATATCTTCTGGACATCTCCAGATGGATCTTTGGACATAAAGCATTCCTATTGACAGTTTCAATAGCACGCACTATTAGTCTATTAGCGATGCTATTACAAGTGAGATCAAGTCAGAGAGCAGATAAGGGAACTTTGTCTTAGAACACAATTCAAATTACCAGCAATAGTGGCACTCACAGTAGAAAGTATCCAGCAAAGCAACTACCGGTAGCTTCACTACTTCTAGAACTTGCACATCACCTATAACTATTTTCCGCAAAGCTTAGAACTTTTATATGCTCCATGCCTGGGAAGATGACCTTGGTTTGTTTGCTATTTTGCCTGCAAAAGTGCTGCCAGGCAATCACATGTTAGAAGTATATCATGTACAAATGGATGTTTAATTTTACACAATCGGGAATGCTATATAGAAGTTGAGAGCGTGCTTGCCAATCAACTTCTTTACCAACTTGCAACATAAGCATTGAGTGGTTACCCAGGTTCATAAATCAAATTGAGATCATCGATCTAAACAGTTTGGCGAGTAATAATTTGTTGAAGAGTCGAATCAGAAGAAAACACAATTAATAAAATCCTACGGAATAACAGTTTAAAGGTAGTTCATTTATGATTCATTATAATCATAGCTAAAAATATCTACATGGAGAAGGCAACTGATGAGAAACAAGTGACATGTCTCTCGATGACGAAAAATAAAATGAAGCAATTATCTAACTCAAAAATCCAATAGACTCTATCAAACAAGCACAAGTGTTTATACGACAGCTAGCTTTGCCGAATTGGCAACACCTTGTGCCCATGACTGTGTTTTATACAACCACAGAAATTAATTTCAACAATGAAAATACAAGCACATTCATATATGCATGTCCAAAGCCAGTCGAAAAGAACGAACAACTTTGGATGTGGGGTGATTTCGTATGAGCATATTAACAACAGCAGCAAGAAAAATTCCATCTTTCGGCATTAATTTCAAACTTTCAACAATGCCCTGAGACAATTTACTGTTTGTGAGAGAGAAGAATTTGTCTTGCAAAATTTAACAAAGTCAAGAACGTTGACCAGGTTCTCATCATTCATCAAACTAAACGAAGACCAGAACACGGTCAACTCAATGGTACACCTTCTTCCATTACCAATACGGCAATAAAAAATTTGGACTTCCACCATGCTGGGGAATGCTAGGTCTTCAATTTTGTCATGGAACCGAAATCTCCATTTATCCATGGCGGTGATGTATCCTAAGCAACAGGTTAGCAGCAAAATACTGCTCATGAATATTGTCATGGAAACAGGGAATTAAAGAAATCTAGAATAAATGTGTAATCTTACAAATCGGGTTAATCTTTACACGGCATAATTTAAGCTATCAGATCTAAACAAAATCTGCTGGAAACCACGATTCTGGTCAAAATCTAAGTGCTTTATTTTACATAATGAGAAGATAGTCGAACAAAACCTGAAACGAGATCCCCAGATGAGGAGATCAAAGCTCTCCATCTCAAGCCAGAACATGTATCACAAAATGCAAGTCCGCAATCCATCGAAGCATCCGAGGAACTACGAAAGAAAGGAACATCGGTAGCTAAGAATGCCAAAAGAATGAACTTTTCGCTCCCCAAACAGACATATAAGAAGCGAGCGACACACGAAACATCCCCCCAAAGCCAAAATTTTCGCCTTTACGAAACAATTCGATAGGAAAATCTCAGACAAGAAAGCCAAACCCAATATCCACACAAACAAAAAGTTATGCAGCCCAAGCGACGCAAATTTACCTGTGTAACCGATTAAGTGGCGGTCAATCCGGAAAGGAAAGAGAGAGAAGGAGAGGGAGGAGCGAAGGAATAGATCAAGAAGCAGTAGTGAAGACCATTTGAAGAAAAAGAGGCTACAGATCTTCATCAAGGTGGAAGGCACATCAGAGAGAGAGAGAGAGAAGAAAAGTCTGAGACTTGGGAGGACAGAGAGATCCAAGATAAGGAAATCTCCACCATGAATAAACGACCTTCCAGGCACAGGGACAGGAAACTTGTCAACCTCTGGTCTCACTGACTCTCTCTCTCTCT